GGTGAGGGATGCGTTTTCAAAGCTTGGTCTCCTTCGGGGCGTGCGCATCCCATTTACCTACAGGATACTTTGGGCTTTTCTTCAGACCGAATTCCTGGAAGTGTTGTTTCGCCTGGCCACACCACTTCGGCGGAGTCCTCCGTGCTTTCCCCTTTTTGCTGGAGTTTGCCATGGGAAGGCAATCTATGACTCCCTGTCTCTTAATGTCACGTGTGGGATCCACAGGGGTAGCCTGCCATGACTGGTGTCTGAAGAGTTATTTGGGTCCCTATGGCGGTCCTTATCATGGCTGATTGTCCGTGTGCGTTTTATTCATCATGTTTGTGTTTTAATTATGTTTCGTCAATGCCTTTTAGTTTAGGTACATACTAGATACTAGGTCTTCATAAGATCCGTAGACTTTGTTTACTCATCAGGTATTATGATGTGCAAGTGATATTGTATGGATACGACATCTTGCTTTGACAGTTTACTTTCACAATGTTTTCTGTTTTCTTGCAGTGTAATCTGTTTTCTCTCTGGGCTTGACGATTGTTTCTCTGGATGTGTCTGCTACAAGGTGGATTTGTTGGGTTCCTTGCTCTCCTGCTCGACCTCATCAAAGAAAGAGGAAGTGGAAGAGCCTGCTTAGGGGTTTTATACTACTGTTGCTTTGTTCTGATTGGTTGTTTTGAAAAGTTCTGTTAACTGTTTCTTTGCTGCAGGAGATTTCAGTAAAGAAGGTAAAGCAAATATTCGCCTCCTGTCTTTAATACAATTTAGATTATTCCCTCACTGAGGCTAGAATAATCCCTAGGTATAGCAAGATAGAAAAACAGTATATAAACATTAGATATACTCCCAAAGCGAAAAGAGTTAATACTTATCTCAAAGATATAATGCGACAGCCTCCCAGGTCACTACCCAGATAGAGTGACCTTTACACAGCAAGAATACAAAACAACAGAGAAATTTGGGATACGGCTGTAAATCTAGAACAAACAAAAAGCATACATAGTGAAATACAGTTTTAAAAGGACCAAATAGTATCAATATAGTGCACTCACAAACTTCCGTGAGAATAGCGCTCTAGGGTGCCTCCCCCGATAGCAATGGGGGGCTAAATAATCCCTTCTGTTGTTCACCGGTGGATACACAATGCAGGACTCCAGTGGTGGTCTCCAGTTGACACAAATGTGTCAAATACAGGTACACATTTGAATTACAAATGTAAACCTAAGTCCCATTTTTTTTCCTATTCAGAGCAAAGGGCCTTATTTGGAAATTTTTTAATGTATGGTAGATTTGGAATTTCAAACTTTAACATGGAAAAATAAACACAAAAACTCTATTTATAATCTCACACAAAACGAGTCGAATGTTTTAAAGAATCTTAGTGTGAGAAATGACCTGGTCATTAGGGAAGCTGATAAGGGAAGGGGGATTGTTTTGATGACGACAAGTTATTATTTGGAGGAATCATTAAATATTCTTAATGACAAGAAAACATAGACAATATTGAGAACTGATCCAACTTGTCAATTTAATGCCGTTTTGAAAAATCTATTGGAGGAAGCTAAAGATCAAGACATCATTTCTCAATTTTTTTTTGATTTTTTGTTTCAAAAACACCATATTACTCCTATTTTTTACTTCCTCCCAAAAACACACAATCGGTTGCCCAACCCCTCTGGCCGCCCAATTATCAGTGGCATGCATTCCATTACTGCTAATTTGTCCGCTTTTGTGGATTCTTATCTACAAAAATATGCCCAAAATGCACCATCTTATGTTAAAGATACCAAATCATTCCTGCAGGAGATAGAGAGTATCGAATGGGATCTGGAATATAGTTGGGCGACTTTAGATGTCACGTCATTATACACGGTGATTAGTCATCAACTTGGATTGGAGGCCATTGATTATTTCATGACCAGAGATCCTAATCTCTCAAGTGGTCTAAAAACATTAATTTTTTCTCTCTGTTAAATTTATTTTGGAGCACAATTATTTCTTTTTTAATGGAGTTTTTATTTACAAATCACGGGTACCGCTATGAGCACCAGGTTTGCCCCCAGTTATGCCAACACCTATGTTAGGAGATGGGAAGATCTCTTTGTGTGGTCTGACTGACCATGACTGGAGGGAAAACTTGGTGCTCTGGCGACGTTATATCGATGATGTTTTTATAATTTGGAAGGGGTCTTCTCTCTTTTTTGAGTTTGTAGATTTCTTAAATTCTAACTTATATAACCTGATTTTTACACCTGTATGGAATAACAAAGAAATTAATTTTTTGGACTTAACTTTGTTCAATGAAGGGAGGCACATTCGCACTAAATGTTACTTCAAACCAACTGATGGCAGCGGCTTTGTGCATCAAAAAAGTTGCCATCATAAACCTTGGTTGAAGGGAATAACCAGAAGCCAGTTCATGCGTCTGAGACGAAATTGTTCACATGACCAAGACTTCCTGGCTCAGTCCCAACACATAAAAAAGAAACTGCTGGAGAAGGGTTATGAGAAAAATGCCCTGGATAGGGACATTCATCATCTGTCTAAGATAAAGAGGAACACTCTCCTAACTGACAAACCTCAACATAATTCTTCTGTTAATTTGTTTAGGTCTGCTTTTATGACTCAGTACAATACTGACCATCATAAGATTAGAAAAAGTTTAGCAAACTATATTGTTACAGGATCCAATACTTGGGGCTCATTTATCCAACTACCCACAGATTATTTACAGAAAAAACAAAAATTTTAAAAATATGTTAGCTGCAAGCTATGCCATTAAAAAAGATTCTAAGTCGAGAGATGTAGGTTTCTTTAGGGGTTGTAATGTGTAAGTTTGCCGTACGACTTCTATGCAGAGGTCCAATACATTTTCTAGTTATACAACAGGTGACACGTATCATATGAAGTCAGACATAAGCTGCCACATGGACTTTGTTGTATATGTACTCCAATTCCCATGTGGCAAGCAATATGTGGGTCGCACCAAACGAGCCCTTAAAACTCGGCTTTTGGAACATTTAAATAATATTAAAAGAAGACTTACAACCCACTCGGTCCCGGTGCATTGCAATACATGCCCCTCTTTTTCTTTGAGGGACTTTAGATGCATGGGCATTGAGAGAGTTTTCCCACATTGGCGGGGTGGGGACAGAGTCCAACAACTTTCTAGACGAGAAACTTTTTGGATCCATAAACTTAGAACACTAGAGCCCAATGGACTCAATGTAGATATTGATTTGGTTTGCTTTTTATAATCTATGTGTTGTCCTGTTTCATCTGTCTGCTTATGTCCTTCTTATCCTCTTGGGAATATATATCCATTTAGGGGTTTTATTTTTTCTCCTTTTTCCCCTTTTTTAATATATGGCTAATTTTGTATATTTTTCTGTGTATTTTTTACTGTGCCTTTAAGGATTAATAATACTTTTGCTCTTTAGTATTTTTCACAATTAAGTAGCTAGTGGTTATATTGATTGTTGCTACTTTTGATGCATATCAATATCTGTACGCTAATAGAGTGTACACCATGATTAAAATGTAGACATGTGTATATATTTTATTTTTTTCTTCATTTTCTCTTAACTCTTTAACAATATCTTCAACAAACATCTGTATTGATATCAAATTGTTTAAACAGTGCAATTTTCCACACAAAGATTTATTTGATTATCAAAAGGACTAATTTTTGATAAAATATGCTCTATCAATTCCCCATATATTTGCGGGTGTATTATATCGATTATACTCTGTTGCTGCCAATTTTTTTATTTGATTCCAGACAGGTACATTTACTATCCACACTATGGGACTACTCTCCTGGCGACCACCAGAGGGCACAGCCCGGATATTACACCATTTTCAATGGTGATACGCATGGTGGAACGCTGAAGCTTGGGATTGATGTCACTTCCGGTTCCGGTTTTGCCGATATGAACGCGTTTTTTTCTAATTGAAAAAAAGAAAATAATCCTGAATAGCTGAGGAAGAAATCTGACTGGACCAATGAAGATCAGGAAGACACTCATGAATCTCAATATGGACACAGGGAGTAGCCCTATATATTGGGACTGTGGGGATGGGGGAATTAGGTTGCTTTTTTATTGTTATTGTTATTGCTTTTATTCTATGGTCCCCGAGGAAGTTCATATGTTTGAACCAAATGCGTAGGACCTTTTGGTTCACTATATTTTTATATAACTTTTATAATTATTTGGTGGCATTTCTTCCACTTTACTAATAAAGCTGCAATTTTTTTCACCACCACTGGAGTCCTGCATTGTGTATCCACCGGTGAACAACAGAAGGGATTATTTAGCCCCCCATTGCTATCGGGGGAGGCACCCTAGAGCGCTATTCTCACGGAAGTTTGTGAGTGCACTATATTGATACTATTTGGTCCTTTTAAAACTGTATTTCACTATGTATGCTTTTTGTTTGTTCTAGATTTACAGCCGTATCCCAAATTTCTCTGTTGTTTTGTATTCTAGAATAATCCCTAATTTGAATTTTTTTTTAGATTTGTAATGTTTTTTTTTTAAAGTAATAATACATGAACAAAAATAAATGTCATATATCACTTCTGTTCTCTTCCCTAAAAGAAGAAAAATATCTAACGGGTTTACCTATTTATTTATTTTTTCTTTGAATTTGAATGTACTGTTTATAAAAAAAATAAGCATTTATAATGCTTAATCCATCTTTTTTGTACCCCATTTAATCCTTTTAGGACCAATCATATGTCAGCAATGTCATTGTAATAATGATTTTGCCCCACTGTGCACATGAAAGGGTTAACATAATGAGGATAAGTGATTAAAAGATTGATCGACTGTTTCTGGTATTCCATTCAACATTTCTGTCCAAATAACATAATTTCAAATTACTCATTCAACACAGTGAAATGCTGCTAACCAATACAAGTAATGTTGGAAAATAATTAAGCTTCCTCATTTTGATGTCACTGCGAATCTTTAATTGGCTTGGGGTTGGGGTGAGTAGAAGTCCCCCATTTTTTGTCACACCAACAGAAAATGATTCACTAAAAATGGTCTGCCGCCATATTCGTCATTCACCAATAAGATGTAGCAGTGGTTTTGGTTCTTGGGATACCCCTTTAATATGTTCATATGTCTCAGTCCTAGTGAAGACTTCTGCAAACTTTGTTATTGATTTATTTTGTTTGTTTGAATGCCTGTAGTAGCAATCTAAATTCCATTAAAATAACTTTTATTTTCAGTTAATCTATTTTTAGTCAATTTTATTTCCTCAAATTTTGAATTTGTACGACTTAGGTAAAAAACATCTTTTAAAGACTCAGTGTCAAAGATGATTATACTTTGTACTGCCAATGCATGTAAGCCTAGACAGCCAGGCAAAAATGAATGTCATTTTGCTATTTAAAAGAATTATTGAACTCTAAGCAACTTATTATTATATATACATTTCCTTTCCATTACATTATACACTGCCTGGCCAAAAAAAGTTGCCGCCTGGATTTAACTAAGCAAATAGGTAAGAGCCTCCTATTAGATAGTTACTGCATGGGTGATTATCTTTCAGCTGGCAACAAGGTATTTAACCCCAACTGATGCAATGAGTAGCTTCTTGAAAGACACATCCCGTGATCGTGGAAAAGATGTTAGCCTGTTTGAGAAGGGTCAAATCATTGGCATGCATCATGCAGAGAAAACATCTAAGGAGATTGCAGAAACTTCTGAAATTGGAGAAATTGGAGAAAAAAAAGAACTGTCCAATGCATTATTAAAAACTGGAAGGATAGTGGGGAACCACCAGTGACGGGTGCATCAGGGTAAGAAGAGAGGCAGATGAAGTGATGCACCCATCATGCCTAGTGCCTACTATAGAAGCCGGTGGGGGCAGTGCTATGATCTGGAGTTGCTGCAGTTGGTCAGGTCCAGGTTCAGCAACATTTTGTGCCCAAAGAATGAGATCAGCGGACTACCTGAATATACTGGATGACCAGGTTATTCCGTCAGTGGATTTTTTCTTCCCTGATGGCACTGGCATATTCCAATATGACAATGCCTGGATGTATTGGGCTCAAATTGTGAAAGAATGGTTCAGGGAGAATGGTAAATAATTTTCACATATGGATTGGCCACCACAGATTCCCCATTGAGAATCTTTGGGATGTGCAGGAGAAGGCTTTTCACAGTGGTCCAACTCTCCCATCATTAATACAAGATCTTGGTGGAAAAATTAATGTAACACTGGATGGAAATAAATCTTGTGACATTGCAGAAGCTTATTGAAGCAATACCACAGCGAATGCATGCTGTAATCAAAGCTAAAGCCGGTCCAACCTTTTTTATCGGTGGCGACTTTTTTCTTGGCCAGGCAGTGTACTTAGAAGTAATACAAGTAATATTTTTTTGGGGATGAGGCTGATTCATCAGGAAGCATTATACTAACTTTTTTAAATACAATGAACATTCAATGCAACATGACCCCTACATCAAGGGTCGAATTTACATTTCAAGAACCTTTAGGCACAAAATTGTAAGGTGACCCCTGCCCGCCTAAATAATTGGCAGGTATGCATACATAGTTAGTTTGATGAATTTACTTACTGGAGGACATTGCAGGCATAAACATGTCCAAACATCATGTATTGCTATTTGATAACTGCCTATATTTATATATATGTTTGCACATATTTGTGCTTGCAGTGTGTTTAAATCTATGAGTATAGTGGCTGTATGCAGCTGTGTAAATACATGCAGGGTTAAAGGGTTGCTCTGCTGTATTGGTTATGATGTCAGAGGTAGCTTGACCCAGTTGCCCGGTCCCCCGCTAATGGGGAAAACTTTTTATCAGTGATTTGCCTCCTTACCTCGATCCCCAGTGGGCTCTGACGCTCCCTGGTGGTCCAACTACACACTTCTCACTTCTGCAGAGCTGCTAAAGGGGTACAGACTTATTGTATTCTCTAATTGGTAAATTATAAATCGCTATGTTTTTAGTTAAGTTTTTTTTTCTGATGGTTTGAGTATATATTGTCCAGGCCTGTGGTATTGTATTTTGTATTGTATTGTATTGTCTTATGTTTATCATGGATCTTTTGCAATTCCTTTACTGCAATAACCATCCATTCTTTTCACTGGAATGTATTTTATTGTTACAAGAATGTGTCTTTATATACAGGCACCATTTTCACTTAATTTTTGTATCTTAGTGGAATGAAAATATAGTATGCAATTTGCAAAGGCTCAAACACTCGACAGTTTCACTCTCTGCACTATTTCCAAAATAAAAGAAAGAGGTCACACATAAAGGTTTTTTGACTGATACAATTATAATATTTTATTAAGCTTAGAATACTACCTCCTTACTCCTTACTTAAACAGCACTAGAGGCCCTTTATTAATGCTATATCTGCAGCAGTCAGCAGGATTAGGGCATCAATTTTTCTTATGACCATGACCACTGAAGTGATTTGAAGTAGTCACAGTGCCTGGATTCTGTATGTGCACTATGAAATGCTCCACATTCAGATTTCAAGACCTCTGCAACCATTAGCCAGCCCGGAACAAGAGTGTTAATTCTGTGCAAATTGGATGTCTGAAGTCCACACACACAGAATGCTGGCCACAGATGTCCAATAACGACATGGCCCTACCTCTGTACTGTCTATGTTCTCCTCTCATCCCATCCTTCCCCTACAACAGAGGTTCCCAACCCTGTCCTCAAGTACCTCCTAACAGTCCAGGATATAGGGATTAGCCTGTTGTGTCTAAAGTGTTTTATTTTTTTTTCTACTTTCTAAAAACACCTTAGACACAACTGATTAATTCCTAATTCTTGGACTGTTGAGGGGTTGAGGGGTACTTGTGGACTGGGTTGGGGACCACTGCCCTACAACAAAGAGGGAGTGACAGCAGGAGAGGAGGATTGGGGTGAAGCCAGAACTTGGCTTCAGCATTAGAATGGTGGCAAAATTATACTTTTCTTTTTTATGTTTTATGGAGGGAAAGATGGGTGGACCAGCATAGCAAGGGCTACACAGTTTTTGGTTTGAGTAACTCTAATAGTAGAAAAGTGGTACTTTAACCTAGAATTGATTGTTTTGCATTTATATGTACAAGCTTTACAAGATTTCTCTCTGTGAGAGCCCTCATTGTAATCAATATATTTTTATAAATCAGTCCCTGTGTTGTTTTACACAAATGGCCATTTCCTGGGCTTTTACGTAATAAAACATTTATTAAGTAAGATTATGTGTAAAATAAGATTATCTTTTTTTTCTGAATGAACTAAGAACCCTATTTTGTCCAACCCTGATTGTTTTAAATAATGTATTTCTTGTTTGGTGTTTAATTGGGGCAGCACAATTTGTACTATTTATATTGTATTGTACAAAAATATATATTTTTCTGGTAGTTTGAATTTCTATTTTCCTAAAGTCTTGTAAGAATGATTTAAACTTAATACCTGGCTATAGTTTTCATTTCAGCGAAACATTCAAACAACTGTGATCTGTGTGTTCATGTAAATGTACTTTTTTCAAAATATCATATGGTTCACATGGCCCCCTATATCACAAATTGCATTTGCATCATATAGTTACTGAATATTGGAAATTGCCTGTTTTTTTTCCTCCGATGATGATTTAGCATTTTAATTCAATCTGAATAACTGAATAATAAAGCAGATGACATAACCAGCCAGGTCAAACAGCTACATTGTGCATAATTACACATTTTCATCCGGAAACTATGAATACAATCATATTTATTACATTTATACATTTTAATACATTAAATAATTCTGGATATGTTTTATTTACTCTGTTATTCTTACTCTTTTATTCCTTATTTCCTTTTTACTCTTTTATTTCCTTTCTAGTATTATGTAAATCCTGTGAGTTATCCTTCCAGTCCAACTCAGTGAGATATGTTCCTGTAAAAAGCAAGGGGTGTCTCTTCCACTGGGCGATCGCGATCATGCAGTCCCTGCTTCCATTCTTCCCCTTTAGGAGAATCCAGTTAGCTCTACATTGGTAATTTAATTTTATAAGGGAATGTAACCCATTGTATTCAAACGTGTGTGTATGTATGTATATATAGGCTTGTATAATATTCAGGTTCCATTAAATGCTACTCAGATTTAGTTACTTTACAGTGGACTTTAAAAACAAAAACATTGCATGAACAACAAAAAAGGAGTACACAAACCCTTTAAATGATACTCAGAACAAACACAAGGACCCTGGACACAAAGGATACTGATATTCAACTAAAAAAGTGACACTTGTAAAAAAATAAACAAACTTCAATTATCTTCAATATATCCTTAAAAATACAATAAAAAGACACATAGAGCAGTATAATCGGAAAATGTTATAAATAAGTGCTCTTTCCATAAGAAATGCATTTGCATGTACTGACTCCTCTAAGTACACAATGACACAGCTGTGTGGTGATGTCCACAAGTGGCAGTTCTATAAAATTATATCTAAAAATATTGTTTCAGTTTCTTTACAAAACTATGAGACAGAGTGTATAAAAAAATTTTTTTTACAGGATGAATAAAAACAATGATAGAACACACAACTGAAAAATAATGATGAATAAAATAAAATGAAAATAAAGTAGGGATTCCTTTTCACAGATGTCAACCCGAAACAATTATGACATTTCAAGAGCATTTATGAAATTTACACAAAAAATATAATCTCGAGGAAAATGAAATTGATGCTTTATACTGGACCTGACATGCAAATATTCAATCTATAGAAAGTGCCCTGTTTGACGTTTCACAATATGACAAAGACATAAAGGTATAAAAACTAATAATTTTAGAAGACAGTTAAAGTTTAAAATGATACAATGACATGTTTGCATAACAGGTCCTAATTCAAAACTATAGACTTTAAACATCTGCTGTAGGTAGATGTTAAATGCATTCAATAATGTGGAATGAAAAAGCATTTTAAGCAAAAATCACATCATTAGTCATGTGTTACACCTGTTGACTCCTCAAAATCCAGTAATATGTTCTCTATCCAATTTATAAGCCTACTACTGGTTAAAATGTTACCTTGTACTTCACGCCTGAAGGAATGGATTATTGGATTACATTAATGTATAGTTTAGGATAAAACAATGTTTTATTCGTCTTTTGTGTTTGAAAGTCTATTAGCGTAACATGTATCTGACACATGGAATGCATGGCTAGTATATAAATAAGTAATAAAATAGCAAGTTTGGGTGATCAGAGGCTTTGCTGACTAAATTTAGTTTTGCAATGTAAATAAGAGTAAAAACATGATTACTCGATTCTTGGAGTAAATTAATTAAAGTTCTTATTCTTCAAGAAAATAAAATTGTCACAATTTTTTATTCACTATTTCATTGTTTAGGATTCTAATACAACTTGAAATGTTTGAAAACCTTATTAAAGTCCTTATTCTTCAGGGTGTAAATAAGAGGATTCAGCATTGGAATAAATATAATATATAAAAGGGCAAAAAACTTGTCCTGTCCTGGAGAATACATAGATGTTGGTCTCAGATACAAACTGATAATTGTTCCGTAAAATATAATAACACAAGTTATGTGAGAGCTACAGGTAGAAAAAGCTTTATTTCGACCACTTGCTGATTGTATATGTAGGATAGTAGAGATAATAAACACATAAGATACCAACGTAAGTGCAAATGCACTGACACACAGGAGAGTCCCATAAATATATGTACATAACTCAACAGGAAAAGTATCACTACAGGTAAGTTTTAGCAATGCAGTTACATCACAGAAAAAGTGGTCAATGTGGTGAGAACGACAGTATGAAAAGTTAGCAATTAAAATAGTATGTGCTAGAGGGTCTAATAAACCCAAGACCCACACTGCAAATACAAGTCGAGCACAGAGCTTTGGACTCATTAGAATTAAGTAATGCAAAGGGTGACAGATTGCTACATAGCGATCATAAGCCATGGAAGCCAATGATAAGATTTCCATGCCAACAAAAGATATGAAAAAATGCAGCTGAGTAAAGCACTCTAGAAAGGATATGGTCTTACACTGAGTGAGGAGAATGACCAACAGTTTGGGTAGAATGGTCGAGGTGTATGAGATATCAATGACTGATAGGTTACACAAGAAGATGTACATGGGTGTGTGTAAATGAGAGTACAAAACTATAGATACAAAAATTATAAGATTACTGAAGACAATGGCGAGATACACAAATAAAAATGTTATAAAAAGAGGAAACTGAAGTTGTGGCAAGTCTGAAAAACCTTGTACAGAGAATTCAGTTAGACTGGATTCATTTTCTGACATCATTTTTAATCTTCTTGTCTACAAAGCAAGACACAGTTTCATGGTACTTACTTTTCGACACATGGCTTCTCCATTTTGGCTTTATTTTTTAATTTGTCATTGTGGCTTTATTTTTGTGAAGTCATGACGCTGTGTAACAGGTCATGTGCTGATGTTCATTTGAGGTTGTATTTACCAAATTTTAAAACCTGCTAAAGAACAGATGATTATTATTATGTCCTGATATGGAAAACCATAGCATTCAGAGGGTGTATACATACACATTTATATACACGTGACCAATCATACAAATCAACAATTTTTGCTTGCAATGTTTAATCCCAAAGTCTGTGCTCCAGTGCCAGATCACTCTGCCCCCAGTTTTCTTTTCCAAAATTCTTTATAACGGAAGGCTTGGGCAGCATTTGGCAGGGGCTCCGTGGATTGGCTTAGGTGGTCAACTGAAGTTCTAACCCAATAGGTAGCTCCCCCATTCACAGAAGAGGCATAAAAAATACATGTACATTATATTGTTAATTGTTTAATATAATTAGTCTGATCTAATAATGACTTTCTGTCTTTTAATTTAGCCAAATCATAACCTCTACTTATTACATTGATGGAGAACCATGTTAATAGATAAGATAAGAGATGTTAATAGATAAACTCCATAGAAAAACAATCCCATACATAAAAAATATCAATATATAAAAAATAAAATATATTAAGCAAATACATTTTTAAAAGTTTATCCAAAAATATTAAATCACTGAAAAAGCTTAACCAAAATATTACATCAAGGCTAATGTTGGACCGGGCAAAGCTATGGAAGTAAAATGTTTCCAGTATAGCTAATTAGTTTACATGATGAATGATTATTGGTTATCACCTCAACAGTTTTCAGTGCAAAAAAGTATCAGATTAAATCTATAATTACTTCTAGATGAATATGTTTGTCATCACTACTATTTCAGCCTTACTTTGGGCAAGGCAGTTGCCTAATCATGATACTGAAGAAACTCATTAGAACTGTGTGTAACAGCCTATATACACTGATCAGCCACAACATTAAAACCACTTGCATAATATTGTGTAAGTCCCCCTTGTGGTGCCAAAACAGCTCTGTCCTTTAGTATCTGACAGCCAGACATTAGCTACAGATCCTTTAAGTCCTTCAAGCTGCGAGGTGGGGCATTCATGGATTGGATTTGTTGCTCCAGCACATACCACAGATGCGTTTGGTTGTACTAACCTCTACATATTGGGAACACCCCACTAGACTTCCCATTTTGGAGATGCTCTGACCCAGTCGTCTAGCCATCATTATTTGGCCTTTGTCAAAGTAACTCAGATCTTTTCGCTTGCCCATTTTTTTCCTGCTTCTAACACATGAAATTCAAGAACTGACTGTTCACTTGGTGCCTAATGTATACCATTCCTTGACAGGTGCCATTGTAATGAAATAATCAATGTT